ATTTATCAAGATCCATTCAACCCACGAGTATCATCGAAGTTCAGGATGGGACAGGCACATGCTCAGACTTGCCTACCTTTGAGATGGTTACGTTGGACATTCTATAGAGATTCCTACTTAGACTTGAACGAGATAGATTTTTGGAGGCATGTTCGTGCGTACATTCTCTTTCTGATGGGTACTTATCTAGTCCCGGACACCTCAGGTTGTGAGATTCATTTGAGGTTCTTACCTTTGTTGGAGGACTTGGGGTTGTTCAGCACATACTCGTTAGTATAGGGTGGTTGTATTTTGCTAATGTCCTTTTTATTTAGCAGCAAGAGTGTCTTTTATTTTAATATGTTATATTATCCTGTTTATGTGGTTATCCCGTACTAAAATTTCACATTAATACAAAGAAATAGAATTCAACAAATATAAAAAACTAAAAAAATTTCAACAAGATACATATAATTGCTCGGATTTATATATTAAAAAAAAATGGATACTTCAACATTAATTAAAACAACTAACCTTATTGCTTTAACGGTTGCCTCAACTTCATACAGCAAAGCCTTACATTCCTTCACCCCTTTGTCTGCATGCTTCACGGGAATCACAAGTATATCACGGGCATCCATGCCCGTGACTTCCTTCCTTTTTCATCAAATTCAATCGGGAATCCTGTTCACGCGGCTGATCATTTTTAAATTTTTTTTTTGATCCATTTCCTAATATAATTTTAAAATCTGATCCTATCAAAAATTTTTCCTTAAATTTATTGGAAATTTGATGAGATTAATTAGTCAGGCAAAGTACTCTTTCAACATAATACTACAATTTGATTGAATTTAACAATACAATCACACATAAATAATTTCATAAGATTACATTTTTTTTGAAAACAAAATACGAGACAAAATTTATAGTTCAAATTATAGAATTCTTCATAAATAAAATCTTATATATAAATTAATGATATATATATACATATATTGTACATTCAATGCAACAATTTTTATGCGATTACATAATTTATTTTTAAAAAAAAAAATTATGTAAGTCGCCCGATCAACGGGCGACTTACAAGTCGCCTATACAATAGGCGACTTCTTTGTCAAGCATAAATCGCCGAATGTAACGGCGATTATGCCTACTTTTAAATTTTTTTTTAATTATGCTTATATTCTTAATTAACTTACTAATGATGCTTAGACTGAAAATTTGCCCTATAATGAATTATAAAATTCAACAATTGAGTGGTGAGTGGTGATGGTCAATGCCTGAAGAAATTATTCTGTGCGGACACCGGACGTCATTTGGAGGCCAATCAGAACGCGTCAAGTCACCTGGTACCCAGTGGTATATAGCACCAGTGTCGAGTAAAAAAGTAACGTGACGAGTTCTGATTGACCACCAAATGAGGCCCAGTGTCAACACAGAATAATTTATCCAGTAATGGAGGGTGATAATGGTGGATGGTAACAACATGTGACGGGGGCAACAAAAACATAAGAAAGAAGCATGAACCTGTTTGTAATAAAATCATGAAGATAACAAAATTAGTGATGGAAACTGAGGATTAGACTCTCACAATATCTATAACTGATACGTCATCATGAAATTAGCCTGATTGGGCATGAATCTCGCAAAATCAGTTCGGAAACTTCAAAATTTAAATTCGAGAGAAAATGAACTCCGATTTCGGCGAGCTTACAGTCAAATTGAGCGTCTCGGAAATACAAATCCAACGACACCAAATTCGACCCAATCCGAGCCCAAATGAGTCCGAATCAAGGACCCGAAGCGATATTGGAAGCTTCAAACCTCAATTTGAGTTACCAAACGGTCTCCGATTTTGACGAGCTTATACTCAAATCGAACGAGTCGACAAGATGAATCCAACGAGCCCAAGATCGCCAAATTCCGACATTATTAAGGCCTTCAAATGCCCAACGAACGGTGCATGATCAAAGGATTCGATGTCGGCCGTCCATTCAAAACACTCCCAATTCGCCCCTGATCTTACGCCTATTTACGGGCTATGCCACTCCAGAAAAACTATAAATAGAGCCCTCATTCTACACTAAGGGGACTCAAGTGAAGAGAGAGAAGAAGAAGGAAAAGGGGAAAAGACGATTCCTCTCCTCCTCGACCACCGTCGGAGCTCTTTCTGCCGCCTGAAGACGCCGGAACTCTGCCGGATTTTCGGGAAAAGCCGGGAATTTACAGAACTTTGTAACTTTGTGAGAAATTGATTGTAAATTGATCTTCTTGATTTGTAAGACGGGTCAACCTTTGTACTTCAAACAAATACTAGTGGAACTTTGCAACTGGGCGAGGCCCCGTGGTTTTTTCCCTCTTTCGGGTTTTCCACGTAAAAACCTTGGTGTTCATTTTCTCTTTTCTGTTTGTGTGCGGAATACTCGTGCAACGCTAAGACGAATATTTCCTAACTCTACTGCCGCGTATATTTTAGCACGCAACAATAACTATAAAGGAGAGTTAAAATTAATAACTTCGTCTTTGTAATTAAGGTTTAAATTTATATATGAGCGAATCTAAACATTAATAAAAATAAATTAAATGATTGATTCTATAAGTTCAAAAGAAAAGGAATGGAGGGCTTATTATAAAAAAAGTGAATAATCTATATATCTATATAAAAGAGCATAAACATAAATATATATATAAAAAAAAAGTGAATGATTGTATGAATGAGTTATAGAGGTGTCAAAATGAGACCAAAAACTGACTTGCCTTCAACTGAATTAACCTGATTAGAAAAATTGGTCATAAATTCAAATCCGGACCCAACTTACCCCTAACCCGGGTTGACCTGACTCTCTAACCCACGAGGGCGAGGTGCAAGGCCGCAAGGACGAGTCGCACAAGCACGGGTTTGAGAGCAACGCGAACATGGGTGCGACCATGCAAGCGTATGTGCTAGACGAGCGTGCAAGCACTAGGGTGAGCGCGATGGAGCAAGCAATTATGACAAGCACACGAGCATGACCCATTTTTCATATGTATATTTATATATAATCCCAGACTTGAGCGATTTTGAATAATCTATAAAAATGAAAGAGCAGAAGCATTAATATAAAAAAAATGCATGAGTTATAGATTTCACCTGTTCCGCTTCAAAGCGCTCTGAAAATGAGAAACAATATATATAGCTAATAAACTGAAGAGAAGATTAGGAAATTGTCAATGATAATTCGAATGAAACTTGGGTCATTTTATAGTCGTAACATGCTTTGGGTTGTCCCGCGGAAAATTCATAATTCTTGTACAAACAAACCTTACTGTAGATACTTTATTGGAAATTAGTTGCTCTCATTTGTGGAGGTTTATTTTTAAAGTTACTCCGCAGGACTATGTTATGTTGGGTAAAGCGGCAGACAGACTGTGGTTGGGTACTATGGTTAGGTTAACTTGACACCAGTCGTTAGAAGAGTTAACGACTTGTTATTTTTTTTTCGATTTTTTTTTTTTTACATTTTTTTATTTGTTCTGAAAATTTTTTTCGCTATTTTAGTTATTTTTTTTGCGTTTTTAATTTGCAATTTTTTCCTTTTTTTTTTAATTTGTTCTGTTTTTTTTATTTATATTCATTCCAATAGCCATTTTTTGTTTTTTTATTCCAATATCCAGTTGATTGTTGAGATAATTTCTTCGTTTCTAAACTGAAAAGAAAAAAATGCAAAAACATTATTGTTCTTATTTCTTTCTTATAGTTCTTAAAAAAAAAAATTATTGTGAAAAGCTCACAAAACAAATTAATTTTCCCACATCAACTTCACAATAAAATTTTAGAGAAAATACCTTCTTAAAAAAATAGACCCCTCACTTCGCATGGAAGGAGCCCCAAGCAAGGAATCAAGAGAGAGATCAAAGATTGCTCTTGCCTCCTCGCTCCTCCTCTACCACCACCCAGACTTCCGTCGGACCACCATCTAACGTCAGAGTTCTGCTGGACCACCGTCCGACGCCGAAGTTCTGCCATACCACAACCTGATGCAAGAGTTCCTCCTGACCATTGCTTGACACCAGACTTTCATCAGGTCAACCGCCTGACGCCTGACTTTCATCGGTCCACCGCCCGTTGCCGGAGTTCCACCGGACCACCGCCTAATGCCAAAGTTCTACCAAACCACCTCCGGACTACTGACTGAGGCCCGAACTTTCACCGGACCACTGAGAGAAGTCGGAGTTCCTCTAGACCACCTAATAATGCCCAGACTTTTGCTAGACCACCGCCTTACGACTATGGTCTTTCTTACCCCTATCTCGTACCGGCTTTTGTCCTTTCGACCTCCATCGTCCGCTGATTATGGTTATGCCGACTAAATGAACAATTTCAATACTAATTCTTCCTATTCCCACCATATAATATGATGCACATTTGCTACATCAATCCAAGGTCTTCCCCCCAAGGAAAGACCTCATTTGTAATCGACTGCAAATAATAGTGGGTTCATTCAAACTGGATCAGGCCCCGTAACTTTTTCCTCTTTTCAGGGGTTTCCACGTAAAAATTCTGATGTCTCTTATGAATGGTACACCCTTTTTGTGTGATGGATCTTGCTAAGACATTAAATTTTATATTTTTCTACTGCCACGAATATTTCAAGACGCGACAACAATAGAGGGTCAATTAGAAAAATTAACGGTTGAACATATTTTTTTTATTGCTTCACGTTGGAATGAATGAAATGCTATTCTCAAATTTCTGTCCCGATTGTACCATTAGAAGTAAATCGATTGCTTCTTACGAGCTCAGGTGTT